CCCCCCAGGGTTGCTGGCGCCTGAACGCGGCGGTGGGCGGGTGGTGCGTTTCCTGGCGGGGGGCCGGAGCACTGATGCCGCGGATAGTCGGTCGTTCGCGGTAACCTACCCCCCGTCCACCGCTTCTGTGGGTTAATATGGCGGGCCGTGTAAACCAAACCACCCGGCACCGTGGGCGGGGCTGGACAAACCTTGGCGCGCCCCCACAACCGAACAGGGTTGCTTGGTACCGCGCGCCGCCGGCGTGCCCCCGTGCCCCCCCCCCCCCCCCCCCCCCGGTGTGACTAGTGTATCTGTGGGCTCTCTACATCTGGGTTTTTAGTTTATCGCGTGCCCCACAGATTTTCGTCCTTTGTGGGGGCGGGGCGATTGATACCGTAGCAGTGTGTTCACTGGTTGGAAACCAATTTGGGCCCAGCCTTAGCGATCGGCGCTCTCAGACAGCAGCGCAGCGCAGCAGACAGCGGCAGCACCTGGCATATCGCTCGGCTATTGGTGCTGATCAAGAATATTTATACTTTATGGGGTCGGAAACGTTTCCTTCTCTGCGTTACACACATCCACTTTTACCACAAATCTAATATACCCCTTAACTCTTTTTTGAGTACGGGTATAATGAAACACGCCATGATACTTGTTGTGTGCACTCTGTTTGCCTGTATTTGGTTGATAAACTGTATAATATCGTTGTTTATGGTATCGTGGTCGAAAGCCGATGGAAATATCCGTGTTTTCTTCTTCTAAATTCATTGCTTCTTTAAAGGAAGAAGCAGCTAAGAAAGACGTGGACGTAAGGCAACAATAGCCAAAATTTCCATAAAGCGAACCAAGGAAATTCCATCTAAACCCTCAACTCAGTGCACCAAGGGCTCTATCTGACGATGATCGGGACTTTTGTGTCATCTTTATGCACGTTCTGCCAAGGAAATCGACCGCCGCAAGCTTCATTAAATGAAATGAATGTAGTCTTCCGGTGCATTTAAAGTGCGCTAATATTCGTGTTACTATGATTACTATGATTAATGTTACAGCTTGTCATCTAAAGACAATATAACAACTATATGACAACTATTATATTGTCTTTATGTCATCTGTGCTGTTCAATTTGCCAGTAAGGCTCTTAAAATAAATAAACTTTTATTTTCTCGTTATTTGTGGTGACTTCTTTTTATACCCGTACTCAAAAAAGAGTTAAGGGGTATATTAGATTTTTGGTAAAAGTGGATGTGTGTAACGCAGAGAAGGAAACGTTTCCGACTCCATAATGTATAAATATTCTTGATCAGCATCAATAGTCGTGTCGATATAGCCATGTCTGTCTCGATGAGCGCCTATATCTCAGAGACTATAAGAGCTAGGGCAACCAAATTTGGTTTCCAAACTCATGTGATATCACACTGCTACAAGTGTATTTCAAAATTTCGCCCCGCCCCCACAAAGGACGAAAATCTGTGGCAGGCACAATTTTAAAGATACGATAAAACTAGAAACGCAGTATCGTAGAGAATGACCATATCTATCAGATTTTCGAATCTGAATCAGATCGGATTATAATTATAGCCACAATGAAGAAATTAATTTTCTGTTGCTTCCTCTGCCTCCCCCTGCCAGAGACACCCTATTCATTCTCTTTCTCGCTCGCACACTCTGCCGCGTTCAGTGCGCGAACAACCCCTAGTGGAGGAGATGTAGAATATGAATGGTACATCTATAATCTACATGTTAGATGTAGAATATACATTGTAGATGTAGATGTAGATAGCAGATGTAGCAATAAAATTAAAAATTTTTTTTTTTTAATTCTGAAATTCTAAAAAATCATATGCTCAAAAATTTATATACTGACTGAGTACGGGTATAAGTAGAGTCGCGTCCCCAGAAGCGACTCGCACGTTCCTTCTCGTTATTCGTAAAACGCTCTTGCATTCGTAAAACGCCTAAAATTTTCCGTTTTCAAAACGGCAACATATTCCTTACCCAAATGAAAAGTAAACGGCTTTTTGCTACAACAAAACGAAAAGTGAAAACGGGAGCCTGCCTGAATAAGTACCGGCTATACGAGTGGTATTAGTATATACGAGTCATACAACGTATGATATCAACCAACTTGGTTTTGATATGATTAGGGGTTTTTTTATACCCGTACTCAAAAAATAGTTAAGGGGTATATTTGATTTTTGGTAAAAGTGGATGTGTGTAACGCAGAGAAGGAAACGTTTCCGACCCCATAAAGTATATATATTCTTGATCAGCATCAATAGCCGAGTCAATAGAGCCATGTCTGTCTGTCCGTCTTGTTTGACGCCTGGATCTCAGAGACTATAAAAGCTAGAGGAACCAAATTTTGTTTCCAGACTCATGAGATATCACACTGCTACATGTGTATTTCAAAATTTCGCCCCGCCCCCTTCCGCCCCCACAAAGGACGAAAATCTGTGGCAGCCACAGTTATATCGTAGAGAATGCCCGTATCTACCAGACTGCCGAATCTGTATCAGATCGGATCACAATTATAGCCAGAATGAAGAAATTAATTTTCAGTTGCTTCTCCTGCCCCCTTCTGCCAACGACCAGCAACTCATTTTCCTTCTCGCTCGCACACTCTGCCGCGCTCAGTGTGCGAGCAACCCCTAGCGGAGGAGATGTAGAATCTAAATGGAACATGTAAAATATGCATGTTAGATGAAGAATATACATTGTATATGTATATGTAGATAACAATGTAGCAAACATATATACTGACTGAGTACGGGTATAAGTAGAGTCGCGTCCCCAGAAGCGACTCACACGTTCCTTCTCGTTTTGAGTTAAGATTGCGTTAATCCAGATAACTAGAGGATGCTTTACATAATTTTTCAGAACTTTGCAGTTTCAAACAGTTTATGTCCCTTTAAACGATGTAGAATCGTACATTCTGGAAAATGTAAAATGAAATTGATAATATTAAATGTCTGCACCGACCCCAGCATGCGTTCCCTTAAAACGAAAATTGCTTGAACAGAGTTTTGGTTTGTGGAATTCGACTGGGCTATGAGACAGTGAGCTAACCTTGCCCAACAAGCGTTTAAATCAGTCAGAATCACGTTGGGGTAGAAAACCGTTCAACTCTGACAACCAACTCCAAAGTACGTTGGGAACATGCTTGAGCACAGGCTCAAGGTCCAACTGTAGTATATAGTATGATCACGTGGCTCGAGAGGGGGTGGTCCTATCTGTCACAAGTATTTACTGGTCACGGCTTCTTTAAAGCGTACTTGCAGCATCTTCTCATCTTTACGACCATAGATCTGAAAGCGGCCCTTTTTTGTACGGGAGCGATCAGCACTTAGACAGATGAGTCCAGGGATCGACATCACCTGGAAGGGAATAGACCTAGGTGACTGCCCTGTGGTACTCCCTGTGGTACTAACTTTAAGAGGTTTTGATAGAGAGGTTTAAATATTCGGCGCAGTACCTAAGTTCACCGTGATAAATCACTTCGAAATCGGCGAAACTAGTTAAAGATCGTGAAGCAATTAGCTTTCACTCAACAAGGGTCTGAAAATGTTATTCGAATTTTGTGGACGGTATTGCTACGACTGACCAGATTAGCCTTCCTGAGAGCAGGTAGAAAATAGTCGGAAATTGCCTGATTTTTCTACGTCTTATAAAATACTAGCGAGGTGCTAACAGTCCTGGGATAATCACATTCTCCACCGAGAATCAAGTACTTGAAGTGTTGTATAAAGTCTTGACTTCATGTTGTTAAATTAAACAACTCCTTTCAGATCTAACCGGAAAAGACAGCGAGACATAAGTATCAAAAAATGTGTGTTGAACCTGGACAGATCAATGTTTCGATGTTAAGTTGGTCCGCTGAAATAAGAACCCAAAAGTCATACATTTCGTTTTCAGGCGCTCTGGAATCTAAACAAGTCGATTTATTATCTCCTGCATGGTTAAGCGCAAACAAAATTTACTGCTGTTAATCGCGTTAATGCCAGCTCATACAAGAAGTCCTCTGTTATATGTAACAAAGGCTTACCGATAACCAAATCAGGGTGCCACAAAAATTATTTATAACGAGAAGGAACGTGTGAGTCGCTTCTATGGACGCAACTCTATTTTTATACCCGTACTCAGCCAGTATATAAATTTGTGACCTTATATTCGGCTGTTTGGTAGATATGGTCAATCTCTACGATACTGCGTTTTCAGTTTTATCGTATCTTTAAAACTGTGCCTGCCACAGATTTTCGTCCTTTGTGTGGGCGGAAGGGGGCGGGGCGAAATTTTGAAATACACTTGTAGCAGTGTGATATCACATGAGTCTGGAAACCAATTTGGTTCCAGCCTGCTCTGGTCGGCCTCTCAGCGGCGCGGCGGCGCGGCTGGCTTTGCTCGGCTTGTGTTTTCTATGGGTGAACGTCCCTCTGCGTTGCCATCACTTTACCACAATCATATCCCTATTTTTTTGAGTACGGGTATAAAAATTGGTTGCTCTACCTCTTAAAGTTTCTGAGATCTAGGACGTCATCAAGACGGACAGACGGACGGACAGACAGACATGGCTTTATCGACTTGGCAACGTTTCTTTCTGTGCGTTACACACATCCACTTTTACCACAAATCTAATATACCCCTTAACTCTTTTTAAGTACGGGATAAAAAAATTTATATAGATATCCCCCCCCCCCCCCGCCCCCCCCCCGCGCCCCCCCCCCCCCCCCCCCCCCCCGGCCCCCCCCCCCCCCCCCCCCCCCGCCCCCCCCCCCCTCGCCCCTCCCCCCCCCCCCCCCCGTGGCCCCCCCGGCGGCCCCCCCCGTATATGTACACCTCTTTATTTGTGCTATTGTGCCAGTGTCGACATCGTGATTTCTGCCGCAGAGAAGGAAAGTTTAGTATTAATGTTTCAAAGCAGCTTGGAAAACAAATTTAAGATTATTTAAAGAAAATACGGTATACAAATGTCCATACTCTTAGAAGAAACTTGGTTGACCAGCAACAATGACGTCACATACCTTACACACTGACGTTTTATGTTTTTGTTTACTTTTGCTTGAATCCTATTTTGTAAAGAAGTAAAAGAAAAGGAGTCCTTCAAATTAACCAATCCCGGGGGAAATTGGTGCATCAATCGGATAAAATCATGTGTAGTACTGAGGTTCCTCGCTAGCCAGTAAAGTAATATTAAATCGAATACCAAAATCGGAGAATATGATTTATTTCGTCAATGTCTCTGTCGAAATGTACATAAATATGTAGTTAATATGTTGCAAATGGGTAGTTGGCGTGTAGTTACCATGTAAAACATCAACTTTGCCATCAAAAGACCATAAATTAAACACTATTTAATGAATCATTTAATAGAAATGAGTACCTATAATAAGCTAATCTTTTAGGAAATTAATAAATTTATCGTAGGAAATTATATGATCAGTGCTCCAGTAATTAGTGTTTTACTAATCCGAAAATCGAAATCTGTGAAATGGATCCATTTTGTCCCATTTTCTTCGGAATATTTACGGTGATACGGTATATGGTGGTGTTTATATGCCCATACATTCTTAGGTATTCGTAGAGGTACTATTGTTTTTCCCATAAAGTCTTGTACTCAGTCTGAAAAAACACCCCCCGAACAGAATCAGGGTTGATATTCGTATGAAACCGACAAAAAAATGTTCGGTCAAAAAATGTTTCTTTGGGTTCTGTACGGACGGCAGTACTCAGATCAATAAAAAAAGAGAAAGACGTGTGAAGCCTAGTAATCAGATCCGAAAAAACACCTCGCGAACAGAATCAGGGTTGATATTCATATGAAACCGACAAGATATTTTTTCGTTCAAAAACTGTTTTCTATGCTCTATACGGTGGCAGTACTCAGATCAACAAAAAATAGGTCGGTATATACTGGAAAAGTATCCGAAGTATTTGCTTGTTTTTTTGGTATGTTTAGACCCACCTCGAAAATTATATCAATTTGATATATTTTGCCAGCAAACACGAAGCAAACATTGCAATAAGAGTACACAAAACCAAATGAAATATTTTAATAATGAAGACATATATAATCTAAATATTGCAGTGTTAGTCTGCTGATAGTCAGACACATTACCTTGCCAATAAAATGTTGGGAAGCCCAGGATATGCCTGGGGAGGAGCGACCCCAGCCGAAGAAGTGCATTTTATTAACTTTAAACAAAACCAAGCAGCGGTCTGAGCAGTGTAACCGTTCGGAATGCAGTGCAAACCTCTGGTCACACACTGGTCGCTCGAAGAATATATGACATTTGTTTGCTGGCAAACAGTTTTTGGATCTGAGTACTAGGCTTAAACACCTCGCGAACAGAATCAGGGTAGATATTCGTATGAAACCGATAAGAAATTTTTTACGGCAAAAACTGTTTTCTAGGCTCTGTACGGAAGGCATTACTCAGATCAACAAAAAATAGGTCGGTAGATACTAGAATAGTACGGAATGGTATTTGCTGGTATTCGTTAATGGGTTAAATTTTGTTTGTGAATGTATGTAAATAAAAGGTGTATATACCGTTCCATATATGTATATTATTTAATATATACAACTAAAAACCATATTTTTAAGCTCTGTAAGCATTAAATTATGAAATGTATTAACTATTCTATTTTAATTTAAAAATCGATGTTTGAGAAAAATCATCGATGTCTGCGACTCAAACATCGATGTTTCTCCAGCTCTAGCAAAAGTAGCATACATATACATAGCATCATTTTTTGGTTGAATTAAATTTATTGAAAAAAGGCAAGGACCATACAGATTGGTTGTGTTAATTGAATCGACGAACCGAACCAAACGATTAGAAAAGGTATCTTATCTGCATTAAGTATAAAATTTAGGAAGAAGCGGCCAAAGACAGCCCAACCATCGCACATAAAATAAAGCAATTTCTTTCAATTTAAAAACAGATAAATTATGAGACTTACAAACAAAATAATATCCGGACTTAAATAAAAAAAAAAAACACAAATCGAAAATTGTACTCCGTGGCATTGCTTTAACCGGCGGCGCGAAAAATAATTTTTAGGCAAAGCACGCGTGCGTTGGCTAGGCATCGATTTTCCGCATAGCGTATTAAGCATCAGAAACAGTGCAGCGCAGGAGATAACCGACTTCTTAACGCCTTGTAAAACAAAATTGTTTATTCTTCGTTTTGTAAGCAGAAAATATTTTATTACACAAAATGGGTGCTTACTTGTCGCATCCGAAGACGGAAAAATCGTCTACGGATGAATTGAATGATTTGCTGGTAGTAGGTGCCAGTTCGATGCAAGGCTGGCGCAACAGTCAAGAGGTAAGGATGTGCGACATTTATTAAGTGCAAGTGCTAAAAACTGACAATTACTGATATATTTCAGGATGCTCACAATTCTATTTTAAATTTTGATATCAATACATCATTGTTTGCTGTTTATGATGGTCATGGTGGAGCCGAGGTAGCCCAGTACTGTGCAGACAAGTTGCCAGAGTTCCTTAAAAACCTAGATGCGTACAAAAAAGGTCAGTTCGGACAGGCACTGAAAGATGCATTTTTGGGATTCGACAAAACATTGCTTGATCCACCAGTAGTAACCATACTAAAAATACTAGCCGGTGAACATAATTTTGTCGATGGGGAAGATGCCGAAGTGTACGAGGAAGATGAGGACGAAGATTTAGCTGAGTTACACGAGGAGAGCAATTTACCATTGAACGAAGTACTAGAAAAATATAAAGGACTTCCGCAAACCCACGAGTTAGTCAGGCTAAAAACTGAAGCGGAGGGAAATTTTAAATTACAAGCGCCTTGTTTGCGTGGTCGACGCGCTGCAGCAGTGGCTGCCGAAGCTGCTAATAAGGCTGTAATGGATCCCACAGCTAAGCCAGAAGGCTCTTCAACCTCAGCTGCAGCAGCAGCTGCTGCTTTTTCAGAGGTCTCTGGCCCGAGTCCCAGTCATTCCAAGGCAGCAAAACTTGAAGATGAATCAGCAGTTACTAGTAGTAGCAGTTCCAGCGCCAACAAGAGCATTAAAGATTTAATAAACAGTGAAACTGTCGCAGATAAAACTGATAAAACTAATGGGAGCAGTTCATCTTTAAAGCTCCCAACAGATCAGAATGGAAGTGTTACTTCATCTGAGGTTATAGAAGCTGTCGACACAGTATCCGAAGAATCTGTAGTATCTCGGTCTACCGACATCGATGACGCGAAAGAAAATGGTAGTTTGGTCAGTTCAACAGGAACCAAACCTGAAGTCTCCGTCATTTCATCAACCAGCAAGGAATCTGAAAAAAATACAAAAAAACTCAATACTGCACAAGACGATGAATCCACGGATGATGACGCCGACTACGATGAAAATGCTATAATCGAGGAACCCGAAGTAGCAACTGCGGATAGCTCCGATGAAGACATGGACGATGGGGCTGAAAACGACGACGACGATGATGAAGACGATGTAAGTTTTTAAACATATTATTTTACTTGTACTAATTACTTTAATTAAAATATCCCATAGGACGATGATATGAGCGATGAAGAGGAAGCAGATGAGGATCAGCTAGCTAATGATCAGTTTTGCGCGAATATGATTGAAGAGCCTGGCAAAGATAGTGGATGTACTGCTGTTGTCTGTTTGTTGCATGGCCGTGATCTGTATGTGGCAAACGCGGGTGACTCACGGTGTGTTATATCCCGTAATGGTAAAACAATTGAAATGAGTCTCGACCACAAGCCAGAAGACGATGAGGAGGCCACACGGATTGTTAAAGCTGGTGGACGTGTTACCCTTGATGGTCGTGTCAATGGTGGCCTAAATTTATCTCGAGCCCTTGGCGATCATGCCTACAAAACAAATTTGGAACTTCCAGCTGAGGCACAAATGATATCCGCCCTACCAGACGTAAAGAAATTAATAATTACGCCTTCCGACGAGTTTATGGTGCTGGCATGCGATGGTATATGGAACTATATGTCTAGTGAAGAAGTCGTTGATTTTGTCCGACTGCGACTAAACGATGAAAATAAGAAGCTATCTAACATCTGCGAAGAGGTAACATGATATAATATTTCTACTGTCATTACGTTATCAATAACAATCTAAACTCTTAGCTTTTTGACAACTGTTTGGCGCCAAATACTATGGGCGACGGAACTGGTTGTGATAACATGACCGCTGTAATTGTCAAGTTTCAGCCTAAACTTCAACAACTGCTGACATCTATTAATCCATCCGAAACGGAAGATGTGTCATTTAACACCGGCCAGGAAAATGAGCAATCTGCAGTTCTCAAAAATGATGATAATGTGTTCAAACGCAGTGCTTCGCCAGATAACGCGCCAGAAGCTGATCTGGATGAAACAGCCAATAAATCGAAACGTTTAAAGACTGAAAGTGAACTAGAATCGATGGACTCTCCTGCGGACGAAATAAGTGGTACACCATCAATAGTGGAACAGAAGGAATGCGTCAGCATCAAGGCAGACAGCGAATCTACTGTCGTCTCATCGTCGTAAAAACTATTATTGGATTCAAGCAGTAGAAAGTGCACGTAAATTATGATTATAAATTAAAAAAAGTTACTTTTTTATTTTTTCATTCACTCTTGAGCTCTTAGAGTTTGAGCTAATTACCGATTTTGGGAAAACATTTTAAAATTTTAACTGCAGGTGTATACAAAAAAATATTTATTTGTACACATACATTCTTATTTTAAAAGATAAAAATTTTTGTTGTTGTATTCTGCAACTTAACATCATACACAAACATTAATTTCCCTAAAATGAACATCCAATATTAATTCATATTCATAAATATATTCATAAAAACTATTATTTTTTGTTCGTTCTTTCGTTGTTGGATCTAAAGCCTCGTACTCAGATAACACTCATTTTTTGCTATCGTATCGTATGAATTCGATAGGAAATCGTACCCGTTTTTCGCGAACTAAATTTTAGTTGGTGAAATTTCGCGATGATATATAAAATAAATATATTTGTATTCAATCTTTCGCTAGCTAACTGGCAGGAACAAGAAAGAGAAGTTCCTGCCAGATAATGAAATAATTTTCGTCAGTAAACGGAAACTACATGAATCAGTGGCCGGCACGCACACATTCACATGTAGTGCGTTTCTGT